AGGCGGAGAGCGGTAAGAAGCTGCGCGTGCTACGGACTGATCGCGACGGCGAATTCACTTCGGTGGAGTTTGCTGTGTTTTGCGTGGGTCAGGGTGTGGTGCGACACCACACCATGCCGTACTCTCCACAATAGAATGACGTGGTGGAGCGACGGAACCAGACAGTAGTTGGCATGGCTTGATCCATGATGAAGGCCAAGAGCATGCCGGCAAGGTTCTAGTTTGAGGCGGTGACCACGGTGGTGTTCATCCTCAACCATGCGCTCACAAAACGCCTTGAAGGGCGTGAATCCATTCGAAGCTTGGTATGGGCGCAAGCCGAGCGTGTCCTTCCTCCGGACATTCGGCTGCATCGGCCACGTTAGAAAGATGAAGCCGATCCTCACCAAGCTGGAGGACAGGAGTACACCGATAATGCTCCTAGGCTACGAGGAAGGTACAAGGCGTACCGGCTCTATGACCCACGCGGAGGTGAGGTGATTGTATCGCGCTACGTTGTGTTTGATGAGAAGGCGACCTGTGACTGGGACAATCCGGGCACGGGGGAAGCGGGCGGCTTCACTAGCACCTTCGTCGTCGAGCACTTGGTCATCCACAGTAGTGGAGACGCTGGAGAGGAGGTGCCGACCACTCCAGCAACAGAGCCGAGCACTCCTAGGGCGGTGTCGAGCACTCCGGGAGGGGGGCTGAGCACTCTAGGATTGGTGCCAAGTGGTTCTGCAGTGGTGCCGACCACTCTAGGATGGGTGTCGAACGCTCCAGTAGCGGAGCCGAGAGGTCTTGTAGTGGTGCTGACCACTCCAAGACTGGTGCCAAGCACTCCTGTAGTGGTGCCAACTACTCTAGGAGTGGTGTCGAGCGATCTAGGAATAGTGTCGAGCAATGTAGCCGGGGTGCCGAGCATGCTAGGTGCTGTGCCAACCACTCCAGCGGAACAGGGGACTCCATCGACGTCGATCGAGTTCGCCTCACCTCCAAGCGACATCACATAGTTCGTGGATGTTTTCCACGACGGTGAGGAGGTGCGGTTCCATAGGCTGGACGACATTGTTGGTGGCACAGGGTCCTCAGGTCTGGCGGGTCGACTGCTCAATGACCCAGAGCTGTTTCTCGTCAGTGTAGAGGAACCACCCACGTTCGCGCTGGCCGAGCGCGATGCAAATTGGCGACGGGCGATGCTGGAGGAGATGAAGGCGATCGAGGAAAACGAGACTTGGGAGCTCGTCGATCCACCCCAGGATGCTGTTCGATCGGCCTGAAGCGGGTGTCCAAGGTCAAGCAGGATGAGCGCGGCGCTATTGTCAAGCACAAGGCGTGCCTCATCGCCCGAGGCTTTGTCCAACGCGAGGGCATCGACTTCGAGGAAGTTTTTTGCGCCGGTAGCGCGCATGGAGTCTATCCGACTGCTGCTGGCTTTGGCAACAGCGAAGGACTGGCGCGTCCATCATCTGGACATAAAATCGGCCTTCCTAAACGGCGAGCTGGCGAAGACGGTCTTCGTCAGGCAACCTCTGGGTTTCACCGTCAAGGGAGTGGAGCACAGGGTGCTCCGACTACGTAAGGCGCTCTATGGGCTGCGGCAGGATCCGCGAGTGTGAAACACCAAACTTGACGCCATGCTGGGCGAGCTTAGGTTCACACGGTGCGCAACCGAGCACGCGCTCTATACGCGGCGACGGGGGAAGGAGGAGCTCGTCGTCGGCGTGTTTGTGGACGACTTGATCGTCCCCGACGCGTGTGCGGAGGACATCGATAGCTTCAAGCGCGAGATGGTGACTCGTTTTCGAATGAGCGATCTCGACGCGCTCTCCTACTACCAAGCATCGAGGTGACACGTGGGAAGTAGGCGCTCACGCTCGGTTAGAGCGCGTACGCCTCGAAGCTGTTGGAGCGGAGCGGCATGGCTAAGTGCAAACCGTGCGTGACTCCGATGCAGGAGCGGCTAAAGCTGACGAAGGCCAGTACCACGGCGAAGGTAGATCAAACACTCTACCAGAGCATCGTCAGCGGTCTACGCTACCTAGTCCACATGAGGCCGAATATTGCGTTCACCGTGGGCTACGTCAGCCGCTTCATGGAGGATCCCCGAGAGGATCACTGGGCCGTGGTGAAGCGGCTGCTGCGCTACGTCAAGAGGACGGTGGATCAGGGGATCGTCTTCCCCAAGACCAGCGGAAGTGGGCTGCAGCTCACTGTGTTCAGCGATGCAAACATGGCGGGGGACATCGACGGACGTCGGAGCACCTCTGGCATGCTCGTCTTCCTCGGGTCGGCTCTAATCTCATGGATGTCGCTGAAACAGAAAGTGGTGGCGCTGTCCATGTGCGAGACATAATACGTGGCGGCGGCCACAGCGGCGTGCCAAGCTGTGTGGCTGCGCCAGCTGCTAGGCGAGCTGACCGGTGTGGAAGCTCATCCACCAGCACTGATGGTGGACAACCAGCCCGCCATCGCCCTCGTGAAGAATCCGGTTCTCCACGACCGGAGCAAGCACATCGAAATCAAGTTCCACTTCCTCAATGGAAGGCAGATCGTCATCGAGTTCGTCGAAACTAGTCGGCAACTCACGGACGTCCTCACCAAGCCGCTCGGCCGTCTTCGGTTCACGGAGCTGAAGAAGATGATCGGCATGTTGGAGGTCCAGGGTTAGCAGCAGGATTAGGAGAAAAATTGTAAAGTAATTTGTTGCTGTCCCATATCTGAATGTGCGGTAGGGGCATGCACCGAAAGGGCTCCCTGCTGCTGCATTGTAGCCGCGGCAGGGGCAGGAGCCGAAAGTCTCCCCTGCCGCACTTTAGCCACAGCAGGGGCAGACGTCAAAGTCAGCCCTGCTGTTACATCTAGTACTGTAGCAGTCTAACATTTCTGTGTACTAGAATTAGATGGGCAGAGTTGTATATATAACTTTTCACTGTAACTCAGTAAAGTGAGCTAGTTCAGTTTTGTCATCTTCTCTGCAGAGCTTTGGTTAACGTTGGTGCTTGTGCTATATGTACGCTCTATTCTTCCTCCCTCTTTTATCTTCGGTCATGGTGTATGGTCAGCAACGATGATGAGCGGTTGGCTCACCTGTACGAGAGACCTCGGAACCAACGAACAGCTGGTTGCTCCGGTACGTATGATGACGTCCCTATCTACATCTACCCACAGAAATGGTGCAGGACGCGACCAATAACTCCGGACTGGACTCTCGGCCTTGTCTGCCGCGCAACCGCGCGTAAGGAATCGATTGAGACAAGTTTGTCCCAGCGATTGCCGGAAGCGCACACACAAACACGGCGCTGAGTTGGAGGGGAAGACACAGTCACGCTGCGCAGTTGCCCAATGCAAGCATCCCGAACAAGCATGCATGCATTCAGAATTCAGAACGATCGATGGCGCCAGATGGGTTACGTTTCCCTGCCCACGACGCATCTGGTGGTGCCAGCAGCCAGGAACCGGAAGGAACGGAGAGACGAAACGAGAGGTCATCAGGAGAAGGAGAAGATCCCTGCGACCTGCGACCTGCGATCCACTGCGAGAAGGAGAAGAAGCATGGGAGGAGTCGAGGAGACGATGAGGGCGGCACGGCAGCGAACTGATTCGGAGGGACGAGGAGAGCGACAGGGCATCGGAGCAGAGTCCACCGCATTAACTGTTTTTTTTTTTTTTTGAGGACAACCGCATTAACTGATGCCCAAAGGTAGCCAGTTACTGGAATCAGCTTTACCGCGGGGAGGCAGCCTTCGGGCGCGCCTGGCCCAGCCCACTTTTGCATAAACGAGAGACCCGTCGACACATGCTCCCGCTTTGCTTCCTACTCACCTTGCTAGCTTGCTTGCTGGTGTCTCCTCCACTCTGGCCTCCCTGGGTTCTCTCGGCCCCCGTCATCTTCTCCCTCAATTATTGCAGTGCCCGAATTAGAAACAAGAGGAATCCCCTTTCTCCAGCAAAATGTTAGGTCCACTTGGCCGGGGACTGTTCGAGGAATCCCCTTTCTCCAGCAAAATGTTAGGTCCACTTGGCCGGGGACTGTTCGTTTCAATGGGAGCGGGCCTCTTCGCTCGAACTTATCAACCGGCTTATCAGCCAGAATCTACAGTATTTTTCTCTCACAACAAATCAGCCAAGATCAGCTTATCAGCCAGCTTTAATACCAGCCGAACAGGCACATTTGAGACCCACATCCAAGGATATGCGGAAGCTATTGCAATGTTAACATCAAGAAAAATATTTATGTGGTGTGCCATTCCTTCTTCAGGTCACTTCTAGCAGTTATGAGCTGTTTGGATGGATGCGGCAGAAGTCTACCATTGTCTAGCCAGTAGCCACGCTTCCATAGTTCCATCCATTCAAGGACAAGAGCAAAAGTGGGGGGTTTCAAGCTTACAGTAGGGATTACTGTCGATTGACAGTTACAGACTCGGACAGTTCGTCAGCTTTGCTGTAGTAAGCATTACGCTTCCACATGACAGGAGCCCGCAGTAATCTCAAGATTGCTATCTTATTTCAAGTGATCTCCGATGATGACAGTTAGTACATAATACTAGGTTTACACGAGCGCGAGATATTCTAAGACAGTAGCAACTTACCAGACGATGCGGCCCGCAGGCTGTGTCGGCTGACCGGCGTGGTGTGGATGGAGCAAATTTCAGATACAGCGAGGCCATCGTGGAGCAGCGAGTGATGCAACATGAGACCAAACAAAATGAGCTGCGATGTTGACACCCACTGTCATCATTTCATCGGTGCTTGCCAATGGTGAGCGAAAGAAGAAAAAGGCGGCAAAAGGACGCACTGCCTGACGCGACGCCTACTCGCCTACGGCCTACCAATCACGCACTCGTCTTCGTCTCGGGAACTCCTCATTTACAAGTCCATCCATCCTCGGATCCATGTCTCACCCAATCAAGAACACAGAAGAAGGGAAAAGGGAAAGGGGGAGAAAAGAATGGCGTCCAGTTTTCTCCGGTAAAATCAAACGTCGCCGTGCAGTGGTGCGAGGAGTCGTTTGCCCTGGGTCAGATCAAATGATCGACCTCTGCCGTGGAAGACGATCGGTGAACGAACGCCCAGTCGTGTCGTGGTTCTTGGTCTGATCTAGGTGGGCCTGGCCAGCGAATGGAAGCCATATTCTTCTGAACCCAGCCCGCCGGGCCTTGCGTCGTAACAACGTGGGGAGGGAATCGTGATGATGCTGCAGCTGCTGCGGTCGCGGCGGTGGTCGGTGGCGGTGGCGGTGGCGGCGGCGGCCAGCTCGTGCCGCCGCCGTGCAGCCTCTGCTGGTGCTGCTGCTGCTGATGCTGCAGCTGGGGAGGCCAGTGCCCGTTGCCTCCGCCGACGGCGCCGCCGATCGCAAGGGACAGGCCTCCCGCGGTCCCCGGATCGCCGTTGCTCAGGAACTGCCGCAGCAATTTGCATAAAAGAAAACAAAGCGTCAGCCAGTCAGCTCGCGCCGCGCCTACCTAGGGAACACAAGGAACTATCGGGGAACAAAAGGAAATCCGACGCAGATACCCACTTGCGGATGCCTGGGGCTGAACGGCAACGGCAGGTGCTGGGCGACTTGCAATTGCAAGGCAGGAGGAGGAGGAGGCAGCATCTGGGGTTGCTTCGAGCTCGCGTCGAGCTGCCAACCGGTGGTTGAAACGTGACAAGCTTGCTTTATTAAGACACACCTCGTTGATGCGGTGGATACCTTTGCTTTCGTGCTCCGGGGCGCGGCCGTCTGCCAGTCGATGTCGAACGCCATGGGGACGCGCTGGTCCGAGGTCTCGTCGTCGCCACCGCCGCCGCCGCTGTCAAGGCTGCCCCTTTTGTTCCCCGCTGAGCTCCCCAGCGACAGGTCCAGGTTGTGCTCGTCGCCGCCGCCCGTCGCCGCTGCACGGTGAAGCATCGGACCGTCAGAGATGAACAGAGATTGCCTGTAGGTCGTTGCAAACTGCGCAGGGATAGACGAACCCGCCGGCTCGAGCTCCTCGGCGTAAATGCTGGGATCGAAGTTTGTCACCGCGTCCTTGCCGTTGCACTTGATGGCCGCGCGGTCGTACGCCCTGCACACCACACACAGAGAGACCACCGGACCCGACAATCCGAGAGACACGGGACATCCATCAGTCAGTTTCGCGGCCCAGGGGTGGCGGAGCTCCGTTCCGAGAAGAAAACGCCTCGCGAGCACACAGTGCGGTCCAATTATTTTACCTGGCGGCTTCCTCCTCGGTGTCGAACAGGCCCAAGTAGACGTACCTGCAGTGACACAGACCGGAAGTGACAGCCATGAATAATGAGGTGAATAATGAGGGTGAGACGATGAGAGGCGCAACGACAAAGAAAGAAGAGCTGATGCCGACGCAGGGATGGGGAGGAAAGATGAACTGAGGGGAAGTGGTTGGGGAAGAACCGAAGAAGGAAGGAATCCAAGGCGAGAAGGGAGATGGACGACGGACGGCAGGCATACTTCTTGCCGAGGAACTGGCCCATGCGCGCCTCCCATCTCCCGCACTTGTGGAGCGTCACGCCTCTGTACTTGGAGCTGCCCCGGGGGAACCCCGTGCTCTGCCGCCGGAGCACGTGAACGAACTCCTCCTTGCTCAGGTGGCCCATCTGCTGGTAGACGAAGGAAGACGTGGATTAGATAGACGAGAAAAAAAAAACATATCTTCTTGTTGCTACATGCTCCGTAGTATTACAGTAAAATTCACCTGCTTCATGTCGTCTTGGTAATCCTCCAAGCTGAAATTGATGTCGGCCTCCACGCCGCGGAACTTGATCGCGGCCCGATCGTACGCCCTGGGTTTGGTAGGCAAAGCAGACAGTCAGGGATTACAATTTGACGGCGAGCCCCGCTGCTATTGGCGGAGAACATGGCATGGGAGTCAGTGAAGAGAGCCAATCGGAATCGAAGAAAGAGAGAGGGTTTATTACCGAGCCGCCGCATGAGCGGTGTCAAATCCGCCTGCAAGTTGTCACAAAACCAAGCCAAGCCAAGCCAAGCCAAGCCATTTGTGAGTGAGGAATCCATCCTGAACAGAAGACGCCTCGGATTGGGCAGCATCTGCTCTCCCAAGTCCCAAGTATGGATGTGTATGGACAAGATGGACATGAACGAAACTTACCCAAATAGACCTGCTTGCCGCAATCCCTGCATTGCACAAGCACAAGCACAAGCAGAGAGCATGGGGAGTGAGAGACAGGGAAGAGAGATAGTAGGAGCGAGAGAGACAGGGGACACACACACAGACAGAGAAAGAGAGAGAGCATGGCATATTGGCATGGTAACAGCTGGTAAGAACAACTTTGATAAGATGTTGCTATGAAAGGCAAAAGCAGCAGAGGCGAGAAATGCCCAAAACAAGAGGAATCCAACCCAACAGCGCGCGAACTCCCCCTCCCCCGTCGCGAGCTGCTGCTGGCCTGCTGCTGCTTGCTCCTTCTCTCTCTCCTCTCTCTCCTCGTCGAGAAAGGAAAGGGCGGCGGCAACGGAACTTACCATATGTGCGACTCCCACCGCCCCGTCCGGCGGTAGAACGTGACGCCGCGGTACTGCGAGCTGCGCGACCGCGGCCCGCGCCGGCTCTTCTTGCCACCAGCCGCCGCCGCTGTCGCCGCCGCCCCTGCCGCGGGGCCGCCAGCCGGCGCGACGCCGTTGCTGCCCGCCGCGGGCGGTGCGGCCGCGGCGGCCAGGCAGAGCCAGCCCGCGCGCGCGTTCGACGAGCCGGGCGCCGCGCCGATGGCGGCCGGGGCCGGGAAGAACTGCCGCGTGACCACGGCGTCCGCGGCTGCAGCGGCGGCGGCGGAGTCGTCGTCCGCGTCGTCGGGTATCTCGACTGGCGCGGCTGCCGACGAGGAGGACGCGCCGGAGTCGTCGGCGGACGGCGACGGCGGGGCGGCTTCGGCTGCCGGAGAGTCGTTAAGATCCCACATGGCTGGTCTTCTCTGCTTGGTACGACGACGCTGGTGCGTGTGTGTGTGGTGGTCCACTCTGCCCTCCCTGCCTCCTCGGCTCGATCTCCTTCTTGCCTCGCACTCCAACTCGGGTGATGAATGAGCGAGGGAACAACGAACAAGAGAAGAGAAGGGGAAGGAGAGAATAGTCCTAGCTAGACGCAGAGAGGAGAGCAAGAGGAGGACCCCAGCCAAAAGAGGAGAGCAGCCGCTGTTGCCTTGTTGGGGTATTCAAGTACTTTCTCTTTTGCTATCCCCTTGGCAAAGACTCTTCCAACCTAGGAGAACAGAGGAGGCCAAAAGCACCCGCACCCGCCCGCCCCCGGTAGGCGGCTACCCTGCTGCCCTGGCGGTAGAGGAGGTGGCGGAGGAGGATTGCGCTGTGCGCCAAGGTTGCCGCGCCTGCAAGCTGCCACCGGTTCGGGGTCGCAGCATAGCGTGATACTGGCGGGATGCCAGGGCAGAGTGGGAGGAGGGAGAGGCGGGCGCCGCGGAGGTTATAAAAGACGCGCGCCGAGGACGATGCCGATGCGGGCGGCGTCGGCCACCAGGCACCAGTCATCACACATCCATCAGCAGCACTTCAGCCCCCGTAGGGTAGTAAAAACAAAAGCAAAACAAGTGTCATGTTACTCTTGTTATCGCGGGCGGGCAACAACCTAGGAGCAGTAATCATTCGCTCGTCGTTCCTTCGTCAAAGCGAGTAAGCGACCAGACCGGCCAGCGGCCGTGGTCTTTTGCCCTTGGATTGGATGGGATCGGATCCGATACGCAGACGCAGTCACGCAGACGTCCCCGTTGGCCGTTGGGGTGGCCGGTGCCCCCGGCCTTCTCCGCCCACAGGGTGGGCAGGGGACGGTTTGCTCAGCAGAGCCAGCCAGCCTTGGTTTACTTTTACTTCACCGTCGTGTCGTACTGTTTATGACTGATTTCCTCTCACAGATTTCTCCCGAAGAAATTTAGGAGAGGAAATCAGCCATGAACAGTAACTTTCAGTCATAAACAATGTTTTTTTTTCATCAGCCGATCGGGCCTCACTGCCATGGCGGCAGCCGAATCACATGTGCTGACCTGGTCCTGGTGCTGGTGGCTTATCCTATCCATTATCCAACATATGCGCGGCTCCTTTTCTCCTCGCACCGTCCTCAGGAAGGAGGAGCATCGAGCGCACGGCAATCTTGTTTGCTCTGTCTGGTCGGGACCAATAATGATCCTTTTCCCAGTCCCAGGTAACTAGAACTAGGTTAGTCACGCTAAACAAGTGTGCTAGTACAAACCTCGCTTTTGAAGGTCACATGTTTCACGAGCCCGGAAAACGCCAAGGCGGGAACAATCACGTTTCCGGCTACAACGGGGCACGGTCGCTCACTCGCTCGTGACACGTAATTGGACAGTGCTGGCTCCTACGAGCACTTCTGTTCCACGGGCCGGCAAAAAAAAAATGTATATGTCTCGTCTGAATTTTAGACTTTGAAGTAAGACTATTGATCTTATAATACGTCACCTGTGTACTTACTTCAACACAAGAAGCATGGGCCTCTTCGATAGAAGCACTCTCTTTTCTTAGCCCCGTCCCCACCTTTGTTTTCCGTAACACTAACTTTACCCTCAAGCCAAGTTAAGATAGTGAGAGAGTGAAAAAGACGGCACCGATTGGTTTTAGCGGTGGGACGCGTCTTTTTCCACAGTGGAATTTGTAGGTTTGCAAATGAACACGGCTCGTAGAGTAGTCATTTCACGCAGCAGCAGGACTAACCTGAGATTTGAAGAAGCTTATTAACCAGTTTCCTACTGCTGCATGTTTCCTTGAGTACTTGGTCTTTCTTTTCTTCTTACTGCAATCGCATCTTCTTCTTCTTTTTGACCAGGCATACATACATGCATGATCGCCGTGTTGATCGAGAACGGCTTTTTTTTTTCTTTCCATGCACTGTAGTCCTGCTCCTCTAAAGCGTCTACGGGAGAAATGTCAACCTCTACCAGGCGGTAGTAGCAACAAGCTAACTTGCCAATTCAGAGAAATTCCCAACGTCGTAAATTGCCAGTTCCTTGCTGTCTCCCACCTTCGCGTCTTTGCTGTCTCCCAGAATTATTGGAACTCTCTCTGCCTCGGTAGCCTAGGGTGGGTGTGTTTAGTTGGGCTGGTGAAAATTTTTTGTGTCATATCGAATGTGTTGAGAGGAGTTTTTGGATACTAATAAAAAAACAAATTACAGAACCCATCAGGAAACTGCGAGACGAATCTAATGATACTAATTAATCGGTCATTAGCACATATGGGTTACTGTATCACTTAAGACTTTTCATGGACTAATTAGGCTTAAAAGTTTCGTCTCGCGATTTTACCGAGAACTATGCAATTAGTTTTTTTTTCGTCTACATTTAGTACTCCATGCATGTATTCAAACATGCTCTTTTACTGTAGGAGGCAAAAAAATTTGGAAACTAAACATGGCCTTAGTTTGAGCCCGGAATCATACAGTGCAACTTGCTTTCATGCCCTACTACTAACCCTTCTTCTCTTGTGATAACGATGGATTATTCAACAAAAGATTAGCATTCTTGTGGAAGGGAACTGAAAATGCAAGTGGACGACAATGTCTAGTTAAGTCTTTGATGTAAATCACAACCTCGTGCTGCCATAGGACCGCCCTGCCTCAGTACTCTAGGGATTACTGCCGCTTATTGTATTGTAATTGTTATCTACTTCTGCTTAATGAATACTGTGTTCCAAAAAAGCCTAGTTAAGTAGCAAAAGGTGATGAGATCAGAAGATTTAGGAAGATTGGACATTCTAAAAATCTACCGTTTTGCCGCTCATAAAGAGAAATCTTTTCCGCCCCCCCGCCCCCCCCCGAATCCCGCAGCTACATGTTCCCAAGGAGTCCGACCACGATAGAAGGGAATCGTAACCCTACCAAAACACCCCGCAAGCTACAAAGGGAGACTGAGGCCCTCAAAGTCCTCCCGCCTGAAAAAAGCTTCCAAAGGAGTATTCTACTCCTCCGTAGGCTCGGGGGCTACTGTCGGGTGTCGATATTAGGGATACCCGGAGGAAGGAAGTTAACGGCCATGAACGCTAATTCGCCCGGATGGTCCAATACGTATTTAAGGTCTCACCCGACCCCGAGGGGACGGTTTCCGCCTCGCCAGACCCCTCGGGCACGGGCCCCGTGTCGCCCGACTCCGAGGGTTCGGGAGCTGTCTCGCCCGACCCTGAGGGCACGGGCTCCGTCTCGCCCGACCCCTCAGGCGCGGGCTCCATCTCGCCTGACCCCTCGAGTGTGGGCTCCGCCTCGCCCGGCGAGGTCCGTACCACCCCCAACCACTACGGGTCCAAGCATATGAGCCTAGGTCAGGCCTCTGACACTAGAAGGCGCGCGGGCACGCCTTGACGTGACCCGTGGCCACGACAGGACACGCCCGAGGGTTCGCATCGCCAACAGTGACGGGTGCGTGGGCGTTGTGCTGCCTAATCCTCGTACGGACGCTGACAGGCACGTCGGTTCACCACGTCGTTCGCCGGGATGGGATGGGACGCCACGACCAGCTAATGACGTCGAGGCATAGTGCCAGTGACGAACATGGCCACGACGTGGAGCCATCCCCATCATCATCTACAGGACCGGTAGGACCTGCATAAAGGAGATGAAGGACGCCGTGACCCTGGAGGCCTTCTTCTCTCTCGCTTTTCTCCTTTTCTCTCTCTACCTCTCTCTCTGTAACCTGCGCCTTCCCCTTCACCTATAAAAGGGGAAGCAGGATGCCCCATGGAGGGTGGAGCACACGGCTGAAGGAGCACACGGCTAAAGGAGCTCAACAAGACTCAACTCCGTTTGATCTTTTCACCAGAGACTTGGGACCTTCTCCCTCTCTTGCCTGTTTGTAACCCTTACTACAAACTAGTGCCGATAACACGAGCAACAACAGATTGGACGTTGAGATATTCCACCCAAACTAGTATAAATCCTTGTGTCCTCCGAGCACACCATCCGGGCCAGACGCGCAGATACAAATTTACTAGCCAGTGGTTCAAAACACCAAAACCTCCCATCCTGCCTTGTTTTTCCTCTTGATGATTAGAGAAATACTTTCATATGTGTGAGCCTTTGATGGAATACTATTTTGGATGTGTAATACCCTCGGTATTATACCCTAAATTAATTACTAAAACATGTCATGAGCATCATATTTATGTGTTAATGCATGTGATAGAATGTGTAGATAAATTTTTTGTAACTTAAAATGATCAATAAAAATGTTAAACGAAAGTTGATTCAATAGTTCATTTATATCAAGTAGGATTTAAAACTAATTTTTATTAAGTGAAAATACTATAGAACATGTGTGTGATACTTAAATAAAGTTTGAAATACAAACTTTGTAAATGACAGTGAAATACTTATTGTTGAAAAATGATATTACTAGCTAGTATTTCTACTAGCCTAGAAATTGTGAATTGAAATCAAGTTCAGCTCAAAAACTTAGAAATTTTCAAGTCTGTCAACAGCTAGACATTGCTATGTTTAGCAAATTATTTTGAGAGATTGGGTTAAGGGATGGTGTAGTGTTATAGCTCGATTGGGTAGTCTCATATGTCATCTTGAGCATGGTGAAGATGGTTTGGCTCCTGAAAAATCGTTTAGTTGTTTTGGGCACTTTAAAATTCGTGCACGACTCAGTCTCGGGATGGTTGGCTGCGTGGGCGCGATCACCATGCTCGGGCGCTCGCCATCACCTTGTCATTTAAGACACTGCGGCTGCACGGACCATGCCGGTGGGGGACGCGCGCACTTGTCCGTAGCGTCTGCGCGCGTGCCTCCACGTTCACGCCGACCGCGTCCCGTCAAGACAAAGATGGGCCGAGCCCACCTGCCGCGCTCCGTCTCTCTCTCTTTCTCTCTTTCTCTCTTTGTTGCCGTCGTCGAGCTTCACCATCATGTCCTTTCGCTACTCGACCCTACCCAGCCTCGAAGCGC